ATCCATCCAACAATTATTATTAACAATGGCGTCAATCGTTGCCTTAATTCGAAACCAATTATTAGCTTTAATTAGTTTAATCAACAAGACTATCTTATTGAAAATAATAAATATATTAACTGTATAGATATACTTACGTGATCAAAAAGTTTAATGATCAAAAAAGTGTCGTTAAAATACAAGATGTCATTTTCGTAGTGTATTTTATGATGTTTCTCGTTTATGAGTAAGGATGCGGCTTTCACTATGCTACTTTTTTATGAAACCAAAGATGTTACACACAGATTTGTCTTCTTGGTTCTGCGAATTTGAAAATTTTGCATTTTAATGCACCAAATTTACCGAAGAGGTAAAAACTGAGTTCTACAGGGTGAGTCTTAAATAAGTGCAAATATTTTTAGAGGTAGTATATTTTGACCCAAGAAACACGATGATGAGGTTTTTTTCGCGAACATTTTTTTTTTAGAAAATTTTGGAATTTTTTTTAGTTTTTAGTTTTAGATAATATAGCAACATAGGTAGTAGATTAAATTTACAAGAAATAAAACCCAGAAAATAATCAATGGTCCTCAAAATTTAAGCAAAAAAACATTTTTTTTGAAAATTTTCCTTTTTTGGAAGTAAAATAACTCGGTTGTTTTGTAGTCATTTGAAAAACGGTAGAGAGAAAATATGTTATCTAACCTAACCATGTACATTACTTTTTTTATTTGTATTATTACTCTAAAAATATTCTATACCCTATACTTATTTTCATAAATAGAGTAAAAAAATGCATTAATTAACTTTTTAACATCAACCTAGTTTAAGAGTACCTATTATTATTATTTTTTTAATTTAACCGGGTAAGTTTGCTTTTTATCTTTTCTTATCATAACAAAATAAATAAAATAAAAAATAATATATAAGGTATTCCGTTTTAAAAAAAAAGTTTGGGTCATATTTCAGAATGACAGCACCCAGCGAAAATCTAGTTACGCCACTGAGTTCTACGTTATAAACGCTATGGGAATCAATTTTCACCTTTTCGATAAGATGACCGAGATACGAAGGTGGTCGAAAAATGCAACATTTTCAAATTCGTATTAATAATAATTATAATTATCGTATTTCAGAAACCAAGGAGTCTACTGTGGAACAAATCTGTGTGTAGCATCTTTTGTTTGATAAAAAAAAGTAGTACAGTGATTTGAAAACCACATCTTTGTATCTCTATTCATAACGATGTATCCTATAAAAGTCCTGAAAATGGGACACCCTATACTTTAATTCATGATAGATAAACAATATTCATTCTAAGTGCCGTTTCACATTAACGGATAGTCCGTCCAAACCGTCAGCGCAGATCCTGTTTATTTTTATAGTCCAACGGGGTACTTTCACATGGTCAATCTGCGTATGTGAAAAAACGTTTTTAATCAAATAGTGCATACCAATGACTAAAGAATACAAAGACAAATATCACCAGAGAGCAAATTGTTACCATGCCACCAAACAGTGCCGTGGCGCATATTTTTCTTAACTAGCTGTTTGAAGAGATATTTATATTTTTTGATAAATGTTTTGACTACGCCTATGGTGTATACAGTGGTATTATACTAATTAATTACGAAAAAAACGTATTAAAATGTTAAAAAAGGTACAAAACTAATATCGTCAAATAGTACACATTAACTACATATAATATCAAAAAATAAATATCGAATTCAATAAGAAAACTAAGAAAACGCTAAAAAGGTGGAGTGGACTGTTTATTTACCTATGAAACGTAACGCCTGACTCTTTTTTATCGCTGCGGCTTTTACACTTGAAAGCTGAACAACTAATCACCATTGTAATAACATTTATACAAAGTTCACTACACACAAACTATTAAAAATCGCTAAAATTGACTCAACTCATTCGTTGCCACCAACAAAATGGCGTCTAACATCAAAAATTCCGCTGCAGCCCGTATTACATGTCCTTGTACTATATCCTTTAGTCATTGGTTTATACATAACACATAACACCTTTAATACATAACACAAACATAGTACCCGAGAATTTTATAGTTTAAAAACCAAAATACTTAAATATTATGGCATATCCACAATTTCAATATTATTTCAATGCGATCAACATGAACGGTAACATATGGAAGACGTGAAATAATCATATTATCGGATAGTTCTGATTACTGCCGTACCGAGCGCTTCTGAAGGTATTTTAAAAATCGGTTGGAAAGCACCAAAAGCCTATAATAAACATTTCAATATCAAAAGCACTGTTGGGCGCTCAAAAACATGGAAAGTATTGCATGGCAAATGTTTATGTATTATTGTTCGAGACATAGATGAGTATGTCTTGAACTATAGTCTTCAATATGTCTTGAATCGAGTAATTACACTTGTTTCCACCCTACTCTTTGTCTAACAAATATAGCTCCTTTAAAAATACTCTGATTTTCGCATAAAACTAGCGGCAACCATGTTAAATTCGGCAGCGACAATCATAACCTTGCCATGTTTATTTTTGTATTGTTTACAAGTCTCTAAAAAGCATTTGAAGCGTGGCTGGAAGTGTAAAAAAGTTTACGATTTTTTTGCGTCGGTTTAATATAAATAATTAGGTATGAGCTTATTTTTCAAAAGTGAAAACTGATTCTTTTATTAAATCCTACAAAGTGGGCGGGATCTAGGCAGGTTGCTATGGAAACGACTACACGCGTCAGTGACAGAGAGAATTTGAAAATTAGAATTTTATACCTTTTTTTCTTATTTTTATCTGTATAAAATTAAGTAGGTATATCACAAGAAAATCCATATTTTTTTTAAATCAAATTTTATACATTATAAAACTATTTAATCAGTATTTACTTGATGTGTGAGATTTATCTTGCTTGCTATCTTATCTTGTCCTCAAATTTTCAAAATTGGATATACTTACATTTTTTTCAATTTTCTAACAGTTCAAATAATTAAAATCTATTTGAAACTATCAATTGAAACGTTGTAGACTTATTAAAAATCTTAAACAAAGTATCTCTTTTAATTTATATAAATTTCAGAAATTAAAAAAATATTTCAAATTAAAAATTTATAGCCATGTAAGCGCCATCTAGAGGTAGCTACGTAAACTCGTACTAAAATATATTATACAGAATACTTTGCTATAGTTTAGCTATGCTTCACTAGATGTCCAATAGAAATTTTCATATATATTTAGAAGAATGGAAATGTGGCAGATTTAATATAGGGTGTCTCTAAAATTTTATACTCTAAAATATATTTGATTGTTCTTTAATTATTGTTTCTAATTTTCATAATATTAATTTAAAAAAAAAACAGTTAATACTAAATATTGTCGTCCATAACACTGTTTAAATTATTGCTTCGAAAATAATAATAATATCTTCAAATTTTCTTAAAATAAAATTTTTATTTCAAAAAAGTGTAATTAAAAGATTTCGTTTGCCGTAGTTACAGTTTTTAACAGAATTGAAAAAATACAAAATGTTTTTAATAAAACGTGTTTTTCATGATTTAAAACAGTTCCTATTGTTTAAAACCATGGTTTAAAACATTATATTAACTCCAAAATCGGAATTGGTTTAAAACTAGTTTAAAACATTTTTTATAAATATTGTTTTAAATCGGACATCAACTTTTGACGCTTCTTACGTCAAAACTAACTGTTACCGTACAAGGTCAAGTTGGCCTTGGTCCTTGGTCCAATATATCGACCTACCAAATTTCATTTAAAACGGACGATTTCTTGATTTGATTCATTAATGATGGGGTTTCAAAATGCACTAAACGTTGTCAAAATATCATGCAAAAGATGGGGATCTTCGAGCCTCATCTACATTCCGAGTTTCAGACCACTAGCTCACATAGGGCCCGAGTTACGACGCTCCAAGGTTAAGGTACATTCAGGCTGAGAGCGTCGAGCGTCGCGTCCCGTTTGCGTCGCGTTTGCGTCGCGCCCGCGTGTCGAAATGGAATCAATTCACTTAACTTAAATTAGACCATTCAGGCAGACAGCGTCGCGTTTGGCGTTGCGCTAGCGTCCGCTGAGCGTTGGGGTTCGAGTTCAATGGGGCGGACGGGGCGCAAACGCGACGCTCTCAGCCTGAATGTACCACCCATCGCGCGTAAAGAAGTTTCACTTCAAAAACAAGTTTAAAATTAGTAAAAAATGTTTACAGCATGGTTTATGTATTTGTTTAAGTACAAATTCTTTTTAGTTACATGAATGAGCGCAACAAACACTCCCAACAAGCAAAATTTATTGCTGGAACATTGCCAAAACTTCGCAAAGCAAGGTGTAACATTGCTTTTTTCATTGTATGGAGGTTTATGCAAGGTGGCAGGGTAGCTTAATCTTTCGCCAAATTACATTGCAGTGCAACGTTGAAAAACACAATATTATTGAAACGTTGCTAATGTAACGTTCAGGAAAGTACTAATTTGAGATGTATTAGTAATATTGTTAATTTTACGTCAATACAATATTGGTAAAATTATATTGTACCTATGTTTCAAAACTTATTATCCATTAAACTTTCTATTTTGTTATAACTTATTAACTGACTTATTGCTAAAATAGTATAGCAAAAAATTGATAATGTTTGCAATAAAAAACCATTTCATTAGCAACATTAGCAATTTCATGTTAACAATAATACATCAGTAATAGGTTATAATCAACAGAAACATTAATGGGTATTAAATTGTAGACTTTCAAATAGGTATAATATACCTACTTTTACTAATATTGTATTGACGAAAAACATACACAATACGTAAGTACTGAGTACTGAGAACTTACTGATCTTTTCGGCTGCTCATTAAATAAGGAATTACTGAACTCTGACCTCTTGAATCGAATTTCTAAAAAAAATCTTAAAAGTTGAAGGTCTCAAATAGTACAAAATATATATAGGTACAGTATAAACATTATTATATATTTCTTATTCAAAAATACAAAAGGAAAGTATAACATTAAATATATGTACAAGGAAAAGCAAACTTATATTTTAATTGATTTTTTGAATCTTTCATATTTTGTCTTCGCATGTTGAATTGTCTTATTCATGGTTTCAAATTCCTCTTCGGTAAAATTTTCCAATCTATATCCAATCGTTTCTAAAGTAGTAAAAATGAAAAACAATCAGTTGTAATAAATATAGCATGAGAAACTTACCTCTTGTGATGTTCCTTATTTTAAAAATCTCAAATGAGTAACCAATCCAACATTGACAATAATGAATACTGAATATTGTTCGTGATTTTATCATTAGATTAAGAATATATAGGTTTATCCTGGTTTTATCCATGTTTTATCTACTTCAGTTTTCAGTTGGTTAAAAGCTAAACTAAAATATAAAATTTCCTTTAAAAACAAACAACACAATTTGTTATACTTATTCATAGCTAAAGGTTATTAATACACACATAATAATAAAATTATACTTACACTTATCGTCTCATCATCATTCTTTGTCTATTGTTGGCTATGTAGACCCAATTTATCCTTGCTAATTTCCTAATATTATGGTCCCATCTCAGGTTCAGTCTACTTCTAGGTCTCTTAATTCCTTGTGGGTACCATGCGGTAATTTTTGTGGTCCATAATCTGTTGTTCGTCCTTATTGCCAGGTATCCTGCTCATTGCCATTTGAAGGATATGATTCTGTAGATGACGTCTATTACCTGGGTCTTTTGTCGTATTCACTCTTTCCTTTTATGGTCTTTCTTGGTTATTCCAAGGTTATTCCCAGCATATTTTGTTCCATTGAAGATTAAGATATTCTCCATCTATTTTTAATCCTTTGTTGGTCCAGTCTAGTTGACAGAAGATTTCTTCTAGTGTTGCTGTAAATAGCTTTGGGGATATCGCGTCTCCGTATCGTACTCCTGTGCCAGTTGGAAACTCTGGGGTTGTTTTATATATCATTTCTCTTGCTTTGGTTTTGCTTTGTTTACTTACTAACTCTAGGGTTGTTTTATACATCATTACTCTTGGTTAATTAAAAATAAAACATTTAAATTAAATTATAAAATTAATAAAAAGAAGGGATTAACTTATAAGATTTAAAAGGTTTATAATAGACATAAAAACAAAATATTTGTTTATGAATTATTATGTATTATTCAAATTTCTGAATAAATAAAAATATATACGTTTTAGCAAGCATACATCATAAAGCATAGAACAAAACAAAGTTCTTTATTCTTTATCTATGTTTTTCACTAAAATGACGTTATATCACAGTTATAATATGTTCTAATAGAAATAGAAATAACAAAAGATAAAAGATGCATAATAAAAGCCACGATTAATTTCGTTTATTTTTTAAATAAATTGTAAAATGTCATCTATGAATGAAAAAATTCTGAAATAATATTTTTTCAAATTCCCCATTAAGTCAATTTAACTTTTGTGATTTCTCAGTTTGGATTAGATTTTCTTGGAAATATAAAGAGAAATTTGACAGCTAAATAATATATTGTTTGATATCGGATTACTAAACTGTTCAAATAAAAATAAGTTTGTAAAACCCACTTTATAACACTTGAGATTTGAGATTATCTCCTGTGATTTGCAACTATTTAAAATAATATACCATAACGAAAATATATGTGAAATATTTATAAATAGTAAATAATTAATATACAGTTCGCTAATATTAACTAACGATATGCAATTTGTACAACATTATATGCCGTGAGATTACGCTATATACCGTATCATCGAAAAAAAAAACGGTGTCATAGATAGCTGGGGAATGACAATTATAATTTTGGCGTGATCAAGCCCTAGACATCGTTTACTAAAAATTGACATCAAATTTGCCAAAAATTAACACAAATTGTAGAAGAGTTAAAAAAGGATAGAAAGTTTCCACGCCACAAATGTATTTCCAAAAAAAAATTCTTTCTCGAATATTAAATTACATCATTTAAAAATCATTGTTATTCAATAGATATAAAAATAAAATACAACCTTCTTAAGGCCTACTGGCACTAAGCGCCATTAAAAATAAGAAAAGTTTAAAAAATTTGAGATCTAACGAATTATTATGAAAATTTTATATTTTACAATATACAGGGCGAGTCTTAAATAAGTGTAAATATTGTCAGAGCAGGTATAACACAATAAAAAAATATTTTTTTCTCTTTTCCGTTTTTCAAATAAGTAAAAAAATAGCCTATGCAATTATTTCACTTTAAAAGTTTAAAAAATAATTATATTTTTCTTAAACTTTGAGAATCACCAGATTTCTTTCTGTTTTTTTATTCCTCCTTTATATATTACTAGACGATTATGTTACTATAATATAAAGCTATTATATTTTTAACCGAAAATTTAAAAATGTAACAAAAGAAATTCTAAAAATAGGTACAGAATTGTCAAAAAAAATTCACAGAAACAAAACATAGACGTGTTTCTGACAACGAAATATACCACCTCTAAAAATTTACTCTTATTTAAGACTCACCTTGTATTATAAGGAACTTTAAAATTTGAAATAATATTTACATTAATTATTCTTTCAACAGATTTAAATCTTTCTTCTTTGACCAATAATATATTTATAATTTGAAATATATACATATATATCCGAAAACAACATAAAATAATATATTCTGTATTTATATAATGTCTTCAGCCAAACATGAGGATTTTTACTTTTTTAGAAAACTTTGGGACACCCTATACCTTTGGAGGTGGATCCGGGAGGTCGGTCGATAAAACTTTAAGCAGCGTTGCCAAGTGACAACTTTTCTAACTATAAATTTTTAAATAAACGATTTCATTAAAGTATTATCCCTAGTTATTATCCGCTATATGTATAAAATGAAAAAAATATTTTCATAACAATTAAATGATCAAAAAATATTCAAATTAATACAAATAATATGTATAACGGAAATAAATTTTAAACATACAGATAGTGTATTAAAACAAAAGTTTGTATTTTATTTAAAAGGGCTCTTTTCAAAGTATGCGTTAATGGTAATACATGTAGAATTTATGCAACAAAAGAATATTTAATAATGACAGTAATGGTCTGTCATATAACTTGAAAAGTAAATTTTTTAACTGCTGGTTTTAATAAAATTTGGTGTATGCTATTTTACTGAAGTGAAATAACAAATAATTTTCACTAATCTCTTTTTAGATTCTACCGTATGATCGAAAAAAACGGCGACGAGTTGGCTGGGAATTTTCTTTTCGATCATACGGTATTAAAATATATCACAAAATATATATAAAGTTACTGTTGGTGGAAAAAATCTTCCAAATAAATGTATAAAACACCACAATTCAAAATATCAAATATATATATAATTATTTTTATACTTTTTAATTTATTAGTATTATAATATTTTTTAATTCATTACTTAATAATCTCCTATATTTTGTTTAAAATTTACATTTTTTATGGGGCTTTATTATTTCTTATCTAATATCAAACTAATATACTGATTAATCTGAAATCGTGCAACACAGCGCATTTAAAAATCAAGTGACAGCCAGTTAACTGTAACTTGACGTTTCATATAAAAAGGTGCAAATATAAATAATCTTTTCAGTTTAAATTACTTTGGTGTGGTGTTTGTAGGTGTATGTGTTTTAAGTTTAAACAATTATTTTAAAATGTGTGGTAAGTTATTTGTGAATTAATTTAATATAGTACTAGTTATTAAAGACATAACCCAACTTTATTTATGTACATTTAATCAAGCTAAGATTTTTCTATGAATATTTAGAATTTAAATACTTTAATCTATATAATGTTCGTAATCAGTATCAGAGCAATTAAAGCATGTGTTTAAAATTTACGAATGTGCAAATTTTGTTGACATGGCAAATAGTCACCGATAATTTAATTATCCATATAACATTTTTTTGAAACATTGTAAAGTAATAATGTTTTAACCGATTGCTAATTTGTTACAAAATTGTGTAAGTTGTAAGATAGGTGTATTAATACGTAATATTTTAAAGATATTATGTATAAGACAAAATTGAAAAGTGAAAGTTAACATATGAATTGCATTGGCCTACTAGAGAATCAAAAATAAACATATAATTTCTAGTTTGGTGGCTTGTTGTAGTTTGTGGCCTACATCCTAGATATAGAAATATGTCATAACGTAGGTATTTTTAATTTGTGATTATTGAATATTAGGTGGGTTGCTCGGTCGGTACCTACCTTCGGACAAGCTATACCTATGATATGACACTTGTACTTTATTATGTTTATATACCTACATGTTTAGATATTGTAATATTATGATGTATATTATATTTTATAATTATGTTAAAAAGTTACATATATATGTATACCTTTAGAAGAATGATTTTTTTACAAGAATATACCTACTTCGTTTCCTATTACATAAAATCATAATTAAATGCTATATATTTTCCAATTATTTTTTATGTAAAATTGAAAGCATGGAATGTTTATTTAAAATAAAATATACATTTTTTCTTTGGCACACCCATATTATAAAAAGCTGCAACCGCACACCTTTGGGCATAACAATAATATATGGCAATTTCCTTATGTCTTTCAGGGTAAACCAGATTAACAAGTTTTGTTGTTACTTGAAACTTTAATGTATCAAGGCCTCACATATTGTTATTTTTAATATTCATTTAATAACTTTTTTGAAAATATTTGTTATACAATTTTATTGAATCGGTTTTTGGCTGTTTTAAAGCTTGAACAAAGAGAGAGAAAGCAACTTCACGAAAGAAATATGAAATTGTAGAAAAATATAAAAAAGTACCTTATTTTAAAACTCATAATCGTTTCAGTTTTTGGTGGGTTCTTTTATTAATTTTGACATTTTTATGTTTTATATCTAATCAAAAAATCTCTCATTATTGTTAAATATCGATAACCTACCTACCTATAAAATTTGTAGTGTGCAGGGATCACAAAAAATAAACGTTGGTATTCTACGAAATTTGTCGATCAATTAATTATCAATAAATTTTAATTAGGCATATGTTGTCTCAATTAGTTATTATTAATAAGTTGTAGTAGGATTGTTACCGTCGTTAATTAAAGTACAATATATACGATTGAAAATAAAGGGCGTCAGAGTTGGCTTAGAAATGAAGATCGCTGTCATTTTATATTAGCTTTTTTCGGGTTCTTGTTATTACCGATTCTAAACCGTCCTAGAACTCTGCAGCGCATGCGCAAATGAAATAATGTCTTCATATTTCCTTCTGCGCATACGCATCACAGTTCAAGGACGGTTCAGAATCGGTAATAACAAGAACCCGAACAAAGCTATTATGTAAATTTATTCAAGGAATGTCATCGATCGTCATATCAAAGCCAACTCGACGCCGTTTTTCTCTTCTCTTCTGAGTTTTACATAATACTCTCTTTTTTTTTCAATATCAGTATTTTTTAGCTAGTTCAGCAAAAAAGACGTTCTTGATTATTAAAAATTAATAATGTATATCGATCAATATTGTCATTTCTACGAGTCTTCTATCATTGTTTTAATTATTGTAAAAAAATGACATTGAAATCATATTTCAAGAGCGTTAAAAGTTAATCTATAGGTATATCGATAATGACATGAATCAATACGCAGCATGCTCCGAAAAATGTTTCCCTCTGAATGTTGTTTTTGATAGAAAACATACACAAAATGTGTTTGGAATTCTATGAGGTTGATTTTCATCAGGCTGGTCTATTTAATTAAACCGGATGTGGCAGCCAAAATATATTTCGAAATATCTTTAACCTTAAAAAAATTAAATTTATATCTAAATTAGATCCTCGAAGATTTTTAATGGGCGGACTTTTTGTTTGTCTATATTGAAAAATAGAAAGTAGTGAGGAAATGCCACCAAAGAACCTTCTATTCAACATTTCGTTACCAGGTTGTTCTTGTATATCCCCATTTTAAATATCTTTCAGTTTAATGTTGACCCTGCTTTTGCCAAATTAACAACGATTCAAGGGCGACAAGTAGGATAGGCTCCGTTTAATTTTCGGCATCTTTTCTTGTATTACTTTCTCTAGTCATCTGGGTGACAGCCACTTCCTAAATATTTTTGTTACAATATTCTATATTTGACCTTATGAATATTGGATTATAATTGTCTGGACTATTAGAAAAGCGTTAAGTCACAATATATCGAATATTTTAAGTTGATTAACTAATTCTTAATCCAAACACAAATACTTTATTATCAGTAGTGCGTTTATACAAAATCGTCATCTACATTGAAAAAAAGATCGGAAGGTTGCAAAGTAAACTGATAAAAAATGATTGTTTCAAATAAATTTGGTATTTCAGGTTTTTTTTTCTAGAAAATCTTTTCTTTCTATAATGCTGAAATTTAATGAAAATCGATAAGCTCTGATCGCTCTGATGTTAGCACAGGTAACATAATATTCTTTGTTACCTATGATATTAGATATTAGAATTTGAATCATATTTTAAAAAGTGTTATCTATTAGTAGCCTCGGTATTTTTTACATTATATGATCGAGATCAATAGAATGACACATTATGTCAACTTTTGATATTGTAGCATTTTAAATGTTAATCTAAGGAGCTTTGGAAAAATAGATTTGATTGTCTAATGTTTTTCGTGTTTTTTTCCAGTCAGTTAAAAGATGCCAAATCATATTTTTATAATCATAACTCATTTTGTTTAAATGGAATGAGGGTGGCTCATTAGCATAATGAATAATTTTGTACAACATATTTGGTATTTCGAGTCAAATTGTCGTTACATTTGTGGCCATGGCACTAATTGAAATTTAAAATGCTATTTTTTTAAATTGAAAATATCAAAATTTGACACATGATATGTTATTCGAATACCATTTACCATTTAGGGCACCATTTATAAATCAAAAGTTGTAGTCATTTTCATTGAAACAGGGAGTGAACTGGAAGGGTATTCAACTAATTAGTCGAATACATCAGTCAATCTTCCTTTATGTCATATGTGTCAACATACCAAATCTGGTTTTTTATTTAAAAAAATAATAAAGTTATAGGGGTGATTCACTTTTGAAAAACACCCGGTATACATGTAAGCAATATAAACAACTAAAATTAATTATTAGACTTTAGAGGGGAGACTCTCTGTCATAAAAATAAAGGAAAACATCTCATTAATATAAATTTAACATTATACACTGATAGACTTATACATATATTCATTCAAATCATGTTTATCTTTTGTCTGCAACATTTTATTAATTAAATTTTAATTATTTAAATAAATAACTGTTTAGTTAAGCAATACTTACCTATATGCGCAGACAACACTTCAAAATAGCGGATTTTATGTATATGGAGATAATGATATAGACTTTTTATTATAAATAACAAAAAAAAATAATGCTGCTTGTACAGAATTTCAGTTTAAGGCGGGTTGATACGATCCAAGTGTACCTTGAACCAAGTGCACTTGGATGCTACCATCTAACTGTAAAGGGTCCCATTTTCGTGTATTTTACTAGTTTTTCGTTTATGAGTAGAGATACAAAGATGCGGTTTTCACATCACTACTATTTTTTTCATGAAACTAAAGATGCTACACAAGAAGTGATCCTAGCACTCTTGGTTTCTAAAATACAGGACGAATTTGAAAATGTTGCGTTTTTCGAATTCTTTTAACGTTTTTCACGTAGAATCGTTAGTGGCGTAACTAGTTTTTTTGCTGGGGTCTGCAATTTTCGAAATATGACCTAACTTAATAGGACACACTGTATATTATTTTTATGTTTTATTTGCTATCTAAAAATATAATATAATCTATACTTATTTTCATTAATAAGGTTAAAAAATGCATTATTTAATTTTTTAACTTAAATCCACCTAGTTTAAAAGAGTCTTTTTATTTTATTTAGGGTGACTGCAACGACGTGCCGTAATCCTGCTGTTAAAACATAACAGCTGGTTTTTATATTATATAAAAACCAATTGTTATGTTTTAACAGCAGGATTACGGGACGTCGCGTCGCGTCGTTGCAGCCATCCTTAACCAGATAATGTTTAGGGTTAGCAGATGAAAACTTATCCACTCCGGGCAAGCCTTCCGAAAAATCCGGACAAAACCGGACGTCATAATTTTTTGGCAATATAAGAGCAAAAATAGTATATTGTTTTATTAGGAGTATAATGATACTTTTTGTGGCGAGGCTGTGGAGTGGACGTTTGACATACAGGCGAGGCACAAAAAATAATTTTTACTCCGAATAGAACCTGCTATTTTTTTTTCAAAACGCCACAAATAATTTTTTAAACAATTTCAAACGTTCCAAATAATATAAAAAGATTTAAAACTAATACCTTGTAAGTAATTATAATTATACGTATAGGGAAATTAAAATAACTTTGGTTGCACATCATAATACGACCACCAGCAAACTCCATAAGACGACGCATGGTGTCATTGATGACGTGCACCCAAAGTTGTTTTAATTTCCCTATATATCGGGAAACTATGGTTCGCGTTGAATTTGACACTATGTCAGTTTTAACCGGTTTTAATATATTTCGTAGTTTTGGGCTTAGGCGTAAGGTGATTTACTTTTATTCCTAGGCGTTATAATTACTTTTTTATGTTGTCAATCACGTCCCAAAAATTAATACTGTTGTGACGTTT